TATAAATAACTATATATATATATATATAAATATATATAAAGTGTTAAAATAGTCCGGACTCATTAAATTATGAATAAAATAATTTTTATAGAGGACAAATATATTCCAATTTTAAATTTAAATTTTGATCTCTGTTTATATATATTATATATTTAAAATTTTGAGGAACAATTCATTTTAATTTAATTTACCCCACAATATTTGGAAACATTCAATTAAGGAAATCTACGAGCTTCTTAGGTAACAATACGAAGCTAGATCCAAGCTTTCACGGGAAGTATTTATTTTCACAATTTATTTTTCCAAATATATTATTTGTTACTATCCAAAATAAGATTTTTTAACTATTTATTTAAGGAAAAAAAAGTAAATATTAAGAATGGGGCCAAATGTATTGTGAGTAATGTTTTTAACATTTGTCCTTTTGTATTTATTAGATATTTAGGGTTAATAATGACATGTTTGGTATTAAAAAAAATGTTTGATGTGTGTATGTGTGTATGTGTGTAAAAGGTTATGGCAAACAATATACTTTTATAATATATAACTTTAACATTTGATGTATGCTAAAAATATAATAATGGTGGAATGAGCAATTTACATGCTAATTTGAGACAAAAAATTTTATAGGCAAATAAGAAGTGTAGAAGACTAAATTTTTTATTCAAAAATGTTTTAAAAATGAAAAAATTGTAGGGCTTAATGTGGACATTATAATATATTATGTTGGTTGATATTATAAAGGTTGGCTTTTCTTTAACTAAAAAAACATAATTACAAAATAATATATTGAACATTAGTGGAGAAAGTAGTAAGGGGAGAATGTGATGGTCAGGTGATTATAGTTGAGTGACAATAATCAAATGAGGAAAATTAGAAAATGAGACAACACTAGCTTGATAGTGATTGGTCGATAGAATTTGAAAGACGAGGACTGAAAATTTGAGATTTTTGGTGGTTGTGATCAGTGTTAGACATTAGGTCAAGCTTCATAATTTTTCAAAATTTTAGGTCCAAATTTTAAGTATCCTTCGTGTAGAAATTGAGCCTCAGAATACTTCATGAGAAAGTCTTTACTGATTACATTGAATATAATTCATTCATTTATTATTTAAATATCTTAATAATTGAGTAATGTTGAATTTATGGAATTCCGCTCGTCGAGATGTTTGATTTAAGTTTAAGAATGTAAGATTTGAAGATGGTTTGACATTTGAATTAATATCTAAAGTTTCTAATCATATTTGCAATACTTAGTTTACTTTAGGGCTGTTGGGTTTGTCTTAGGATGACATTCAATTTGACTAAAATTGATGTGTTTCTAAAATATCATATTGATCCGCATGAATCTCGATGTAATTTTTGACTGAAAAATTTTTACTACCAAATTTAGAAACACGTGCACTCCAATTTTATACCGTGAGGGGTTTCATTAAGGCAAATCAAATGACATAAAAAATGATCTGACCCAAGTCCAAATGGACCCATAACATGCACTTAAAGCATAATTAGAAGTTTTAAAATACATTTTCGAAGAGTGTATAGCCAGATCGAGTGTCTTGACAAGCCAAATACAACAAGTTTAAGATCATTTAATTCTAATATTATTAAGACATTTAAAAGCTCATAAAACACCGTTCAATTGAATGAATCACTCTGGGTCGTATGATGGAGTGATTTAGCTTCATCCTATATTTTCCGACAAAATTTAGAAAAATACACCCACTCCCTTTTTTAAACATGAACTTGAAACAAGAGGAGAAAATTGAAGATGCTTCAAGTTTTTTAGGGATCATGAGCTCCACCACTTCTAAACCGCCGCCAACTAGTTGTCGCCATCATCAGCTCACTATAGTCACTTCCCGACCCTTCTTGTTGAGCCAAAGGAACACCATCATCGAGTCAATGCCACCATCAAACAACCATTATCTGGTTGCTGCCATCAGTATAGCGACTGCCGTTGTGCTACTGGACCATCATGGTCTAACAACCACCATCGTCGAACCATCGCCGCCTGACCAACACCATTGAGTTGTGGGAACACCACCATCTAGCCATCACAACTGTTGGACTGTCACTGGCCGACCACTGCCATTGAGTCGTTGTCAATATCAAACCACCATCACCCCAATTGTTAGGCACCCATCGTCATTGTTGTTGGGCCAATCTCATTTGACCGCAACTATTGCCAAACCTCACTGATCTCCACCTTTTGTTGTTGTTAAACCATCGTCGGACTACCACTGTTACCACCACTAGGCTTATGTTGTCTGACTATCACCTTCGCCGCCACGAGACCACCACCACTACCAACAATGTTGTCATTAGACGTTCTCGCCCTCGACATCTACCGTCTGTCTTTCTTCATAGTAGTCGGGTTCATCACAAATTCCCCAATATATTTCACCGCTCTCACAAACAAAAGTCAAGTCGATACCCCTTACTTCTATAATATTGCTTACGTGTAATTAAGAGTCATTAAAGTCTTGTAACCTATGTCTGCATGGTGGAGTCATTTTTATTGGTCTAGAACTTATGTTGTTTTTTTTTATCATTTATTTTTACTTGTGTGTGTGTCTTAACTTAGTATAACATTAAGACGTTAATACATTACTCTATTGTCTTGAATTTACGACCAAACAACAATAATATTGCTAAAATCAAAGATTAGATGACCCTAAGTTTAAATTGATTATTTTTTTAAAATTGAAAATGTGTATCAAGATTTGGGTTCAATTAAAATTATCTTTTTACGACAACTCAGGATTTAAATTTTAATATGTTATCTTAAATATGTAAAAAAAAAAAAAAACACTCCTAAATTATAATAAAAATGTAATATTTTTGTCTAAGAAATGGGTTTGTATGACTCTGCCACATTTTAAAATCTCATCATCACATAATAATTTATTTATTTAAAAACATTTTGTTGAACTTGGATAAAGGAAATTTAATTTTTTTATCATTTAATAGCTTTTAAAATGGCTCAAATAGTTCTCAAATAGTTCAAAATACAGTAGAAAATAGAAATATCCTTTTTTTTAAATTAATTTATTAAAAATTGACTTAGTTTTTTTCTTCTTTTGTTATAATGTATAAATTAAATTCAATGGATGCTCCAATCATGCCAAATGAAAGCAAATTTAGGCATGCTTTACATTAATTAACATTTAAACACATCTTAAATGGCTAACTTAAATTTTATCTAGTCATCTGTTTCTCCCCTCCATTCATCTTCGGTCTAACCAAAACAGTTTTTTTTTTACGGTTGGATGTTTGATCCGATTCTAATAATAATAATTTAAAATATTATATAATTAAATAAATGAATAATATTTAAGATTACAATGATAAAAGAAATAATGATATATGAGAATGGAAAATATAATTACTTGTTATATTATCTAAAAATCAAGATAATAGATAGAAATGTAAATTTTTTAAAAAATTATTAATTATTATTAAAACATTAAATAATTAATATTTTTGAAAACTAAATAAATTTGATCAAAATTTTTTTTATAGAAAATTGCACATAAAAAATAAACATCAATTTATTAGTACAACATAAACCTCTAAAACATAATATTTCATGATATATTTTGTTACTATTTATAAATATTAAATATAATTATCAAGGATACATCTATTTAAATATTTTATTTTTTAATTAGACACGTGGCATACATGTGTACGTGTCTGATGTTTGTCAAACACTACATTCCGATATTGTGACTAAAATTTAATGAGGATAAATATCAAAATCTTAGATCCAAATAGTCTCAATTAGCATCACACTATTTGTTCAAATTTCATGAATTATAATAAATTAGACTAATAAATGTTAACTTGGGAAATCATTTAAATATTAAACTAGCATCAATACATTTTTTTTTCTTCACATTTATCAATCATACATTTTATTTATTTATTTTTTGCATCCATCAATCATGTATAAAATATGTTGTAGATTGAATTTTTTGGGCATTTACTAACATAGCACACAATTCTTATGTATTTACATAAACTTATAATTTCATATTTACACGCATAGTACTCAGATATTTAATATCACATAAAAAAATAATATTATTGTTACTTTTTAAAAATGAAATTAACCTTTTTCATTCATATGTTTAAAATATATGAAAGTTTAGGCTTGAAATATGTAATTATGTAAGAATTACGTGCTAGGTATGTATGTATATATATATATATATATA